CAGTTTGGTGCAGTGGCCAAACCTTCAAACCCTTAGAAGATCGTAGAGGTGAATTAAGCATCTTTTGGAATGTGCATTGGTTATTGTTCTTTCCTTTTCTATCCTTTCCTCATAGCTTTCTGTCATCTCAGCATCATCCAGCACAAGCATAACGTGTTACTAAAGTTGCTAAATTACTTGGCTAAACAAGGAGACCTTCAACATTGAAGTTTCAAATTCCCATGTGGCTGCGCGTGTTTTCTTTCCTTTGACCCGTAATGAAGCGGAGGCCATCGTTTTGAACATTCTACTTTCTGATGGAACATTCTACATCTATACACTGTACAGCTATATGAGTTTTCCACTACTCTGAGATCGCAACACATTTAATTGGTGTTTGCTGGGACCAGGCGCTTGGTCTGATCAAATGACCTTGTTTACACAAGGACAAAAACCCGTGGAAAAGGTGAGCTCGAATGCATTATCTCCAAACGTACGGCGTGCGGATACAAGATTCGAGGTGTGGTCCGTCATGTCTCTCGTGGAACGTGGTCACACTCATCCGCACCTTCAGCTGAGCCAACGAAGCTGAGATCATCGCATTGATCCTCTCGGTGGGCGTGGGCCTCCTCCCGGATGCCCGGCATTCTGGGAGGGAAGGGGTGGAGCAGTGGTTGAAGTGGTGGAGGTGCACAAGTTAAATTACTAAATCTACTACAGCATTCCCTTTCTCACTAAACTCTTTGGCTTGGTCTTCCCAAAGGCAAGAACGCCCGGACTGGGATTGGAGATAAAAGTTCTGAGCGGGCATGGCTTAAGTTTCACGAGCACTCCGATCAGGAGCCCACGAAGCGCTTCAAAGTACTTACTTTGAAAGGGTTCTCATATACTTTCTGCTCAATCAGATGAAGTGGCTGTCGGTCGGCCAAATTCATGGGGCTACCGAAGATTTTCAGGTGAAACCAATCCACACATCTCCAAGTAAATTCACCAAACGCATTCCAAGACATGAAGAAACCAGCAGAAATTCCATTCGGCCATTTGCCACTAGACATATTGGATCATATTGGTATGACTCGGCATGACCACATAGTTGCAGGATTTGCAACTTGCTAGCGTCATGGATCATTGTCCCAGCCCTCAACCAAACCCATGCCATTCATATATGAAAACATATGGTTTTTACCCACACCCATAGATGCTTGTAGTCATTGTGCTTCCAGCCCATCGTCCAAACAAGCGAACCGTCAGGTCCGTGCGTCCGCTGGTCAACACCCAAGGCCTTTCGTTTGAAAAGCCTTGACTCTTTTTCCTCAAGTTCCACTAGTTCCACTCCACATATAATCCACTTGGCCGACCGAAGTAGGCACGTGCGAGGCTCAGCTCCCTTTCTTTCCGAGGCGTCGGGCGATCCGCCAACGTCAGCGGCGGAACATCCGAGGCCCGGCGGCACTGAGGGACGTCGCGCAGCCCACGGTTCGCCAACGTTGGCAGCTGTTCACAAGCTCTCAACGTGCTACTCACTGGGTGCAGAACTAGATTCTAATTCTGCGGAGGCTTTGTGAATGTGTCGGTCGCAAGTTGCGTTTTATGACAACGGGATTAGGTCTTGTCTCCACAGGAACAGACATCTCCAAGCAACCCTGGGACAGGTGCACTTAGGAGACACACCACTACATCCAAAACCAGATGTGTAAGGACTCTTGCTTCTGAGGAAGGATACTTCCCGTCATTTGTTCATTTACTTATGCAATGTGACTCGACCTCCGAGAGTGTTCTCCACAATGAGCTGACGCCCAGTGGTCGGGGCTAAGCCAGTTTGGGCGTCGGAAAGAGGTTGTTTTTTGAGTTTATTAATTTCTGAATCGAAACAGAGGTCGTGGCGCAAGCGGCTGGCCTACGAGGGCGAGTCGGGACCTGTGGACCGTTCTCCATCTTCTGCACCGATTTCATGGTAGGAGGTTAAAGGATGGGATGTTGTAAAGAGGTAGTGACTGAATGCCTTCAAATGGCTCTGCAACAGACAGCTGTGTTCAGACCTTCAGGTGACTTGACACTCGCAGCTGATGTGTGGCTCGATGCGCCGCATCTTTCGTTGCTTCGTTATTTGCCAAATCTGGCGACTGAGCCATGCGGTTCGAGGGGCTGCAGAAGTGTTCGACGTGAGCGACCGGAGTCCTTCGGAAGATGAGTGTGCCTTCAAAGCAGAGCTGAGCCTCGACTGGCAGGTCCAATGCCCACAGGTTCATGTTACGTTTGTTAAGTCGTCCTGTTGGGTCAATTAGGACAAGTTCGGGAGTGCAGATGTTCTTTTTTGTTTGGGGGAAGTTGCTTGACATTTGGAGAGCTGCTCAGGACCAAACTGGCCGAGCTCGATGCCATTTCGGTGAAGCTACATGAACTTTGGCTAAGTATGTGAATTGCAGGTGGAAACTGGAGTAAGAGGGTATTGATCGTGTCCTCTTTTACAGGGGATCAGTTGCGACAGTGGTAGGGTCCACGGTCCACCGTGCTTTTGAGCTTATGACCTATGACCAAAGCATGGAGCCTCTGGAAAAGCTAGGTCTCAACGTTTCTTTCAAGGTCTTGGTAGCAACTGAAGAGAATTGAATGCTACTTTGAGATTGAGCTAGCGAGATATCAACATGTTTTTTGCCAAGCACATCGAAGAGCCAGGAAATTGTCGCTGGCCACCCCAAGCAAACAAAAGCAAACCTTGACACAGTTTGTCAAACAACTTAGATGTCGGCAGACCGAGGAGCCAGATTTCACCTTCTTCGATTCCAGGGAGTTCTTCTTATCGCCAGAGCCGAGTTGCAAGGAAGAACTGGAGGCTTGGAGGGAGCGCGAGGCGCACCTGGCGCGTAGCATCGTAGCAAGGCCGGGAGCGTGTGCCTGCGGCGTCTCGAATGGCCTGGAGTGGAAGCTTTTGAATACAGCATGACAGAATGATACATGTATAAAATGTCTTTCAGCCGCATGTTTATGTTGAGGCTGCTAGGCAGCACCAGACCATTTGAACACTGCCCAAGGTGCGAAGAGAAATGGACTTTCATGAGTGGGGGTCGTATGATTTCGTTCAAGACCCCTCCCTTGAGGGAAATAATGAAATAATTGCGTCATGTGCTTCGAAGCATCATCAGGTGGGCTTGCGAACTGCCTTTGTCTCCAAAGAAGCCAAGCGCCTCCAGCAACAGCGTCGTTTCAAGGTGAAACAGCCGCTCGGGTGATGGGATCGGGCGAGGGAGACGCTGTGATGCCCTCCATCGACAGACTTAGGCAGACCGGACTTGGTGAGTCGTGCTTGGATTTGGATGGAGTCTACTATGTTATTAGGAG